CTCTTTTTTTTTTTTTTTTTTTGTGTGGTTAGATGTTTTTAATTTTTGGATGTTGGTCAGGCCATCTTTACATGTTTTAATTTAACCGCCTTTAAAGACCTTAATTAGGGCAAGGGTGATACTTGGATCTCAACACTTTTGGTTATAATAGATATGTTACCAGTTTGAATAAACACTGCCATGATTAGAATTTATTTATGAAGTCCACTAGAACAACAAAGAGACCATGTTAGAAGAAACCAATGCAATTACTTTGGCATTTTCATAATTGATATTCATCAATCTCTACATGAATAATTATTTTGGTTATATAGATCTCATGACTTAATTCATCATGATCAAACGATACTATTAGAAGTCGTTTTCTTTTGGTCATACTACATACCCTCTAGTCATATTAGATACTACTCTATTATCCTCCGTTTGGATGGACGAAAATAACTTGTGGTTTAGCTAAAAGTCAAGAGTTGAGAGTATGATTTGATATTTCCATTGTTTGACAACTTAAGTACGAAACTTAAACACTCAAGATTTCCGAGTTTAATTTCAACCAAAAGAGACGTTTCACAATTTCTATTGAGCGGATGGAATCCGTTTTTCCTTGAAATTTCTGTATTGCAAAATTCGACATACATAAATTCGAACACTGAAATTATTAATTGACATAAATTAAAACAATTGAAATCTAAATTCGGTTATTTTAGAATTCTATGAAATTTTCAATTCCTTCGTCCAAACGGAAGGTAAGAAAGAAAAACAAATTACATAAAAGTCTATAAAACTCAATCAAAGTTCGACCAAAAAAAAAACTCAATCAAAGTTTCATCATCTTAACTCTATAAAGTCATTAAAAGTCATGAAAATGATCATCATGAGCAGCTTCATTTGTTCATGCCAGTGGCATTCTTGACTGCATCAGCAGCACCCTGAGCCTTGGCCTGCACATTCTGACCAGCATCTTGCATTGTCTCCTTGGTAGATTGGGCTGCATTGTTAGCCATATCCATCATCCCACTGGCCTTCTCCTGTTAAATCCAAAATTTTCCAATACAAAACACCCCACATCAATTTCAATGCACATTCACATATAAATGTAATATATTTAATAGAAAACAAAAGAAAGAAGCAAAAACAAATGGAGAATAATAGGTGAGCTAATTACTTGAGCTTGGCCCTTGGCCTCTCCAGCGTGGTAGCTCATCTTCTGAGAGTTGTCAGCCATTTTCTTCTTGCTTTGTTTTCTTGAAAACACTTGAAATTCAGATGAAGTTTTTATAACTCGAATTTGGTTTGCTGATGATGAATATCTCACAATTGGATAGGGTTTTTTTTATAGTACTTTGGACTAGCTGAATGCTCAACACGTGTGGTGCCACGCGGAAGCCATGCACACATTTCATCCTGATCATGGTTTTGGGCCATAACACGTGTCGCCCTATAACTTGGGATGAGCCTTTTGACCAGGAAGGCTGTCAAGTCTTATCTTCATGTTGTTATTCTGAGAATGAAAATTCTACTTTTTCAGCATTATGGAATTCCTGTATTTATTTGGATTATATTTCCTCAGTTGTAGTAGGCCTAAAAATCTTTAATTACAATCATATTGTCCTCCCATATATATATATATATTAGTAAATTGAGCTTGGACCTATAAAATTCATTTTAAATCACCTACAACCCTTCCCTTTATTTTTCTATTTAAAATACCCAATTTTTTCAAATAATACCCAATAACTAGGATCCAACTAAGCAAGTTACCTAATATAACTTAAAATCTGATTTATTGTATTTTTCGGACTCCAAAACTACCCCTATTTTTAAGTTAATTTGTAATGAAGTGGTGTAACTAATGACACACGTTCAATTTGGAAAGATCCCCAAATTGTTGTAATGGATGTAGGAATTAATTTAGAAACTTATTTGAAATTAAATATTAAATTCAACATTAACGTATTAGTAATCTATATGTGATTAACGTTTTGGTTTATTTAATAAAAAAATTATGTTGTTTTCCTTTTATGAATTATACGACTAGTAATCTATTTTATTATAATTTTATGAATAATAGTGTACATTCTAATTATGTTGAAAAATAATTTGATAATCTTTTTATTGTTTGTTTTATGAAAACAATTTTTTTTATAAATGAACTTATTTTATCTCTACAAATAATGTACCTATTTTTTTTTCTCTAATAATGTACCTAGTAAAAAAATTTACCTAGTATAATGAACCTATTTTTAGCTAAATTTTGTATCTATTTTTTTTCTCTAAATAATGTACCTATTACTTGTTTTATGAAAAATAATTTGATAATCTATTTATTTTTTATTTTATGATTTTTTTTTAAATGAACCCATTTTTTTTTTCTCTAATAATGTATACCTAGTAAAACAATTTACCTAGTATAATGAACTTATTTTTCTCTTCTAAATAATGTACCTATTTTTAATTTATAAAAAAATGTACATAAATTTCAATTATACAACGTACCTATTTTCTATAAATTATTGTGTACCTATTTTTAATTTATGAAAAATGTACTGAAATTTCAATTACAAAGTAATTGACCTAGTTTTTTAAAAAAAATTTGGTAAATAATATACCTATATTTTTATACGTATATATTTCTATTTATATTTTTCATATGTACATTATTGGATATGTAATTTACATTTTTTTTTTTGGTTTGCAATTTTAGGGGGCAATATGTTAGAGGGAATGGCAACCAAAAGAAATAGGGTGATTGATATGCTATTAATAGGGAGTTTTAATTACAATTATGGCAATTAATGAAATGCTTGGAATAAATTATAAATAAAATATGAAGTCTGATGGCAACGATGTAAAAACATAGGAATACTATGACCTCTTATATCCTACTGGTCATTTAAGTTTGAAATTGAGTTTTACACATAAATTTATAGAATGATGAGTATATGTCTAGGAAATAGAAATTGTAGGGACCTATATATATAGAATCAACAATTATATGACATACGCTTTTGAGCATAGACATTGATAAGTTGGGTTGAAGTTATTATATGATCAAAAGATAAACTGTCACTAAGATGTTGTTATCTGATCAAAAGGCCACAACATCGTATGAATAAATGCCACAAACTTTTTTTTTTGTTTTGGTAACAAGGGGGACTAAAAGCCCAGCACAACAACACCTAAGCAACAACAAAACGATGCCCGGACACACCCAGGGCATCAGCACACAAAATATCCTTCAGGAAGTCAGGAATCGTCGTCTCTCATAGTGATGAGTCCCAGGACCAAAATCAATGATCCTAGCAAATAAAGCATCAGCAACAAAATTCTGCTCACGACAGATATGGTTTATAGAACAACGCCAATCCTTCTTGATCTTTGACTTGCAACAAACTATGATGCTGAAGAGGGGATGTGCTACAAACTTTTTGGGTTCTCGTCAACATGAGTCTAAAGCAACGTTGTCTCTCATTTAGTGGACAAGTGGATTTTACATTCAAGCGAGGAAAATTTATACATAACATGTTCATATATCGTCTTGTATATAATCTCTTTATGTGTGATTAGTAATGTGACTATTTATTTATTTATTTATTAATACAAGCGATAATCTACTTTAAATTAATCTAATTATGAAGGAGGGGATTCAAACCTGAGTGTGAGGAGTCGGGCTCAACGTCATGGCCAACTGTTCTGACTAGGCCTGATTTTCGGATGGAACAAATTGAAATTAGGGGATTCCAATTCCAATCCGAAAAATTTCAGAATGAAAGTTATCTTCAAATTCCGATCCAAAAAAGTTCAGAATTTAAACATCCTTTCCAATTCGGAATTTTCGAAAGTTTTGGAAAATTTCAAAAACAAATGCAAAATTTTAAACATGCTCAACAATTGGAAATGTTAAACTTGGCTCATAATTGAAAACTCACACAAAAATCTCGAAAAATTATTATACATTAGTATTTAGATGTTATTCATTAAAGAACAACTTGTCTATGTCTATTTGGCCAATAAATAATGTTTAATTCAACATGAAATTAGCCATTGGGTGTAGTCTAACCCGAATATATTTTGGAATGCGGAATTTTTGGCATCTTGAGATACATTCCAATCCAAATTTTTAAAGAATTTTTTGATTTTGGAACTTTCGGAATTGATTTGAACTTGCCAAAATCGGAAATTTTCGGATTTGAATAAGTCAGAATCGAAATTTTCAATCCAACTTGCACCCCTAGGTCTTCCGTTCTTTTAGAATTCAATGCAATTTTCAATTCCTTCATCCAAACGGAAGGTAAGAAAGAAAAACAAATTACATAAAAGTCTATAAAACTCAATCAAAGTTCGACAAAAAAAAAAACTCAATCAAAGTTTGTCATCATCTTATTAACTCTATAAAGTCATTAAAAGTCATGAAAATGATCATCATGAGCAACTTCATTTGTTCATGCCAGTGGCATTCTTGACTGCATCAACAGCTCCTTGAGCTTTGGCCTGCACATTCTGACCCGCATCTTGCATTGTCTCCTTGGTAGATTGGGCTGCATTGTTAGCCTTATCTATCATCCCACTGGCCTTCTCCTGTTAAATCCAAAATTATACAATACAAAACACCCCACATCAATCTCAATGCACATTCACATATAAATGTAATATATTTAATAGAAAACAGAAGAAAGAAGCAAAAACAAATGGAGAATAATAGGTGAGCTAATTGCCTGAGCTTGGCCCTTGGCCTCTCCAGCGTGGTAGCTCATCTTCTGAGAGTTGTCAGCCATTTTCTTTTTTGCTTTGTTTTCTTGAAAACACTTGAAATTCTGATGAAGTTTTTATAACTCGAATTTTGTTTGCTGATGATGAATATCTCACAATTGGGTAGGGTTTTTATAGGACTTTGGACCAGCTGAATGCTCGACACGTGTGATGCCACGCGGAAGCCATACACACATTTCATCCTGATCATGGTTTTGGGCCATAACACGTGTCGCCCTATAACTTGGGGTGAGCCTTTTGACCAGGAAGGCTATCGAGTCTTATCTTCATGTTGCTATTCTGACAATGGAAATTCTACTTTTTCAGCATTATGGAATTCCTGTATTTATTTGGATTATATTTCCTCAGTTGTAGTAGGCCTAAAAACCTTTAATTACAATCATATTGTCCTTATATATATATATATATAGAATCAACAGTTATATGACATACGCTTTTAAGCATAGACATTTATAAGTTTGGTTGAAGTTATTATATGATCAAAAGATAAACTGTCACTAAGATGTTGTTATCTGATCAAAAGGCCACAACATCGTATGAGTAAATGCTACAAACTTTTTGGGTTCTTGTCAACATGATGAGTCTAAAGCAACGTTGTCTCTCATTTAGTGGACAAGTGGATTTTACATTCAAGCGAGGAAAATTTATATATAACATGTTCATATATCGTCTTGTATATAATCTCTTTATGTGATTAGTAATGTGACTACTTAATTTTTTTTTTATTTTTTAATACAAGCTATAATCTACTTTAAATTAGTCTAATTATGAACGAGGGGATTCGAACCTGAGTGATAGGGTTCAGGCTTAATGTCATGGCCAACTGGTCTAACTAGGCCTGATTTTCGGACGTAATGGATTGAAATTAGAGGATTCCAATTCCAATCCAAAAAATTTCAGAATGAAAGTTATCTTCAAATTCCATTCCAAAAAAGTTCAGAATTTAAACATCCATTCCAATTCGGAATTTTCGAAAGTTTTGTAAAAGAAACAAATGCAAAATGTTAAACATGCTCAACTATTGGAAATGTTAAACTTGGCTAATAATTGAAAACTCACACAAAAATCTCGAAAAATTATTATATTTTAGTAATTAGATGTTGTTATTCATTAAAGAACAACATGCCTATGTCTATTTGGCCAATAAATAATGTTTAATTCAACATGAAATTAGCCATTGGGTGTAGTCTAACCCAACATATTTTGTAATGCGGAAGTTTCGGCATCTTGAGATACATTTGAATCCAAATTTTTAAAGAATCTTTTGATTTTGGAACTTTCAGATGTCGGAATTGATTTGAACTTGCTAAAATCAGAAATTTTCGAATCTGAATCAGTCAAAATCAAAATTTCCAATCCAACTTGCACCCCTAGGTCTAACCCACATTTATATGTGACCACTTATTTGGAAAGAAATAGTGCATACACGAACTCAGTGCCAATTTTTCTACTTTAATGACAACCAAGTTCACGTTCTATCTTCTTACGTTGGTTTCCTTTTGCATCTCTGATTTTTTCAGTCCTGTATTTGGACTTCAGTGCCTTTCGTATGGTTTCGCAAGATCAAATAAGAGCATGTCCACCCCAAGCATCAAACTGGGCAGCAGGCCCCCCTAGCGAGCCCAAAAGCCCTCCAGCGCAAGAGAAGCAGCTCGGGCAAGCTGAGGGCCCCACCAACCTAGGCAAGCCCACGGGCAAATCCTGCCTAGGCTGAAGCTCGAAGGTGCTGACGTCATTGTGATGTCAGCGACCGTAAAATCAAATTTTTCAACGGAAATTTTTTTTTGACTTCCTGCCAACTGATGTCGTCATGATGTCAGCGCCTGACAGGGCCCAACAAAAAAATGCCACGTGGCGCTTCTTGGGCGCTGCGATGGCTTTTTTCCCAGAAATCTGACGGCCCTAATTTTTTTGGTACAAAATAATCCAAAAAAATACTGGATTTTTTCCCTATAAATACCTATAAATTTTATTCACTTCCACACCAAATCTTCGTACCAACTCTTCTCCTTCCAATATTTTTTACTTTCCACTCACATTTTTCTATTACAAAATTCCATTTGTGCAAAAATATAAATGGCCTCTTCAATCAAAGCCGGAGGGTCGTGGACAAACGTTCGAAGAGGTCAAAATCTTGGCGACGAGGTAAAAAAAAATAATTGCCATTTTTTAATAGATTATTCAAAGCAAAAAAAAAAAAGAAAAAAAAAGAGGGAAAACCATTACACATGGCTCCTCAAATGAGCAATGCCCGCAATCAGTTCCAGTGGTGCGTTCCATGTTGGAAATAATGGCACTATTACGTCCTCCGAAGAAAAATACTTCCACACGTCGTGATCCGGTGGAACCGCCTCCGCCAATGATTGAGTCGTCCTTGTACTTGATTATGTCAGACTATGAGGATTGAGAGTATTTCAATTGTATGATGAGTGAGTAGGTATTTCAATTGTATGATGAGTGAGATGTGAATTTTATAATAAAAATGGACACGTGGCAACCAAAAATTTTATCCGAAAATCTTATCTGAGAAAATGTTATCTCAAATTTTAGGTGAGAATTTTATAATAAATAGTGACACGTGGCAACCGAAAATATTATCTGAAAAATTTATCAAAATTAATAGTTTAAAGTATAAAAAAATTCAGACAAAAAAATAGAAAATAAAGTACAATAAATAGTATTTCCATTGCCTTAGCCTTTTGGGATGGACATGATGCTCTGGATATTTCAAAAAGCGAAGCCAGCCAAGCCCGAAAACTTCACCAGAGATTCTTAAACCCAATGAATTGGGCCTCAGTCTATGACTCAATGTTAAACCAAGCCATTCATATTATCAAATTTTGCCGGCGCCCCCTTCAACATACCCTAAGCTCAAGGACTCAAAACCCCTTTCTCCCCGCCACAGCACCTCTTCTCCCTCTTCATTCCATTACAGCCATCATCGAAGTTCTAAAGTTTAGAACTTTTTATAATCTTTTGGGTCATTTTCTCAGCTTAAAAAACCCTTTACTTCTTCTCCTTCTTCTTCATCTTCTGGATTGGTTTCAATTAAATCTACAGATAAGAAGACAGGGCAGTCTGAGTAGTAGGAAATTCGGGTGCTTTAACTCATTGTAAGTCACGTACGGACGGTACAATCCGAAACGAGTCCAGCTATCTATCTCGATATTCAGAGTCACAGAAAGATGGGAATGAAGGACAAGAAGAAGACCAATAAGAATAAAAAGCTTGCCCAGACAAATTTGGAGCTTATTGAAAAGGGTAATTATATTCTTTCTTTTTTATCTGTTTTAGTTTGGCTGTAAATTTGTTTTCGAAATTTTTGTCTGCTTAAATTTATTTTGAAATTTCTGAGGTGGTCTTGTTTATCTCTCCAACCTTGTTGTTGAGCAAATCTATTTTAGATTATAAAAAATGAAATCAAACAGATGCTACATGCTTTAGAAAATTGTAGAACTTTTTGGACAAAAACCAATTGGATAATTGGAACTTGTCTTATAGAATTTTTGCTTTATCTGTTTATATAGTTATTGCGAAGAGTATAAACAAGTTGTTATTCTGTAATTTTATTTGTTTTCAGATAAAAGGTCACCTATAGAGATGAAAAAGAGAAAAAGGGAGAAGGAAGTCAATAGTGACTCTCGAAAGGTTGTTCATGTTTCCATTGAAGGTACATTAGGTTTCTGATTCGTATGTGTTAAATAAATTGTTAGAGCTTTAAATTTGAAATGAACTCTCTTTTCTCTGTTTGCTTTTCTTGTTTCAGATAATTCAGCCAAAGCAGCCAAAGATAAGAAAAAGACTAAATCACCAAAGAAAGTGAAGACAAAGAAAGTGAAGAACTATAAAGCTTTGGAAAGCAAGCATGATCACCCAAATACTGAGACTGATGATGATTTTGATGTAACGAATGGTAAGTTGCTACTATTTATGTAGCATTGTACTTTAAATGTTTGGTACTTGCTGAGGAACTTTAAGTTGATGTAATTTGTTATCGGTGTCCTAGTACATAAAATTACCTCTTTTGGGGGTGAATATTGAGAAATTTCGAATTGCTAATGCTCTTGCCTGTTTGTGCGTTATTTTGCTTTATACATATTGGAGTGTATTATTGTTTTCTTTTTCTCTAAGCTAAGGTCAGTGCTTTCCAATTTTTTTTATCAAGCTGTATGAATTTGTATTGATTCCATTGAAGTGTCCACAATAGAAACCTTTCCTGCTTTTGACTTGTTTAAGATAATCTTCTCTTTCTTAGATGATGGAGTTGCAGATCTGAGCCAATTTGAAACTCAGGAAGAGGATGAAAGTGCTGAAGTTTTCATTGAGGCTGGTATGGGAACTGAAATTCAAAAGTATGAATAAGTGACAAATTTTGTTTCATCCGAGCGAAGAGTCACCGGATGGAGCTTTTATTGCAGTTATACTTAAAAGGTCAGGTGCTCATTGAGGCTTTTATTTTATTGTAGGCAAGTCAAAGAAAACTAAGAAAAAGAAAAAGAGGGAACATGTTTCATCAGAGTGCGGGAAGTCACTTGAAGAGGGAGTAGAGGATCATCTGGTTAACTGCTCAAAAGGAATATCAAGTATGATTCTTGAATTTGAAACATTGCTCTTATCCAAGTTGACACAATTTCGTGGCAATTAGTACTTTTCTGCTTGTAATAATAATCAAAATTGTTGATGTAGGCATATCCAAGAAAGCTTCGAAAAAGAAAAAGAGGGATGTTGATTCATCAAAGTCTAAGAAGACACTGGAGAGGCAAGTAGAAGCTGATCAGGATGACGTTTACCTTATTTCTTCTGGGGATGAGGACTGTGAGAGAGGAATGAAAAGTATGAATTACTCATTTCAAAATATTTGTTGGTGTCTGCAACTGTTCATAATCTAAAGCCAACTATCACCTAGAACCTATGGATAATAACTATAATTTTTTTTATTAAAGACAACATGTGTAATATTAGTTTTCCATTCAAGGATTGTCTTCTTAAATTGAAGCAATAAGAATGCTTTATATTTTATTTTTCTTATTGAGAGTTTCTGAATCCACAGAATGGGTTACGGAATACCATCAAAGTAGACCTGGATTGAAGGTACTGCAGCAAAGAATTGATGACTTTATCACTGCACATGATGAAAAATTGGAACAGGTAATTTTCCTCTTCCATGCTACAACAACTCTGGAGTATCTTCATTCAAACCAGCTGTTTGAACCTTTGCTCTTAATAACTATTGTTCATACACTAACTTCAATTAGATGTATGTGTACATACTTGAAGATTTAGATATGAAAAAAAAAAACACTTTCATGTGTATTGACTTGTATATATACACTGAATGTATAGCTGCCATGTGTATGTCGCTGTGTTTACTTGTTTTGAATTTTGCCCCACATCTGTACTTCTTCATGGAAGTTTGTCTCATACTCCTGCCTATGATCTCTCTTCATATATGCTCATGTAGTCTGAAAATGTATTTCTATGTTTCATTGGCCAGTGGTGTATGTCCATCTGTTTAAATTCATTGGTATCTACATTGGAACTGTCCAATTGATCAAATGTGTATAAGTTCACGTATATGTGTATTACACGTTCTTAAACTAGTCAATCTTTTTTTGTTCCTGTGTCATTTGGCTACCTGTTTAATTCTCATTGACTTTTTTTGTGGCACATACAGGAAAGAAAAGAAAAAGAAGCCCGTGCTGCAGAAGGAGGATGGACAGTTGTAGTACATCATAAAGGAAGGAAGAAGACCACGGATGTTGAGAGTGGAATTACAGTAGGGTCTGTCGCCCAGGCTGTTGTGGAGGACAAGGTGGCCAAGAAGAAGCGCACAGAAGTCGGGCTAGATTTTTACCGGTTCCAAAGGAAAGAAGCTCAGAGGAATGGTATGTTAATCTTACGTATAAAGTTGATCTTTTGTTAACCTGAAAACCACACCAGTTTTGGTGCAAATGCTGCATAGTTCCCCACCTCCAAACTGAAAATGAAAGAAAAAAAAGATAGAAGTAGTTATATGAAGAAATAATATGATCCCATTATGAACATGCAGTGGCATTTTTCATGTGCTTCTGGTCTTAGTTTCCAATAAACTTTCTCGGCATAGTTTTCACAACAAAAATTTTTATATTCAAGAATCAGATATATTTATTCTTGTTGGTTAAAAGTAGTGCAAATACTGAAGCAAAGCACTAATTAATAATCTGTCCTTGCAGAAATTATGATGCTGCAGAGCAAATTTGAGCAAGATAAAAAACGGATACAGCAGTTAAGAGCGGCTAGGAAGTTTCGACCATACTGAATGCCTGATGGTTCGGATGAAGAAGAGCCAGGAATCAAATTGCTCTTTTCTGAATGCTAAGCCATGAATAGTATAATGCGTATTGCATAACAATTTTTCTCCCAATACTGTTTTCCCGCTTGGTTACAACAAGTGTAATTGATACATCCGTTATTCTTTTTGAGAGAACGCCCAACTTTCATACAGTGAGATACGAACTCATTGACTGGAAATGCAGAAACGATTGGCACCTCTTTAGGTCACTGTTTTCAATTTGAATGCCATCTTTCTTAATAGTCAAAATTGCCGCCAAAAGAAATTGACTGGAACGAGCACCCTTATTTTGGGGGAAGGCTGCTTCTCTGCAAAGACAATTAAGCACGTGCAATGAATTGACCCATTCCATCATCATAAGCTTGATGCTTTCTAGTTCAAACTTGGCAGGGTTGATCTTTCCTACTTCATTTGAAATTTCTTTTCTTTGGAATGGTTGACCTCTTCCATCATATGCCTAACAAATTTCTACAACCCCCCCAAAGAAAAAGCATAAGAGACCATCAGTAGCGAAATTACAGAGGCAAGAACATTGGACAGTGACATATGCTGACTACGAATCTGAGCAAAATGACAGAAATCCACACATGAAAGTGAGATATGCTGACTTAAGAGCATATTCGATCGGCCAGAAGGTTGTAGGCACCAGTCAATGCTAAGAATAAAACTTTCTTCATTTGTTGAATAAAATGAACTTCTTTCCTCATTTGTTGAATGAAACACTGCATTGTGACTGAAAGAAACCACAACATACTGCATATGATTCATATCATTAAGCTGCAGATTTTTTCTTTTGATAGCAAGAAATGAATATATGCTAAGGAGCCCTTGAATGTGTACGAGAGAGAGAGAGCATAAACGTATAACACAAGAAATTAGGGTTTGCGACTCAAATGGTCCCTCAACACGTACACGAGTTGCATTTTGATTTTCGTTCAAATGGTCCGCACTAACTTTCATCTCATAAAAGAACTTGAACAAGACTTCCTGGAGCAAGAAATGAATATATGCTAAGGAGCCCTTGAATGTACGAGAGAGAGAGAGAGAGAGAGAGAGAGTAAACGGACGGATAACACACGAAATTATATAGATTAACTTTCATCTCATAAAATTAGTACTTCAACAAGACTTCCTGCATCCAGGAAGTCAAGGATCAAGGATCTCTTTCACCAGAGATCCTCTTTATTCCAAATCGCAGAGACTAAAATGCAGCAACACAAATACTGCATAACATACTATTACCCTACTATATATATAGAGAAACATAACCCCACGTCACATTTTGTTTATTCATTACTACTAAACACAAACAATTGAACACTAGATCTTGTCCATAACTATCTCTTCAACTTCCTCGTCCTTCTCGTCCTCGCTCCAGCAACCTTTCAGAATTGACCTTGGAGACTGACAACCTGCATCCTTGACAAAGCTGTGGTAGACGACAGCACCACCCAAACCCAGCATCTCATAGTTGCTTTCTCCGCAACAGTATCCCCTCAAGTCGTCCAGGGGGAACTTAGCGTTGAGTTGTTCTCCCGCGGTACTGGTGGTATGCAAAGCTACAGAGAACTCAGCCGGTTTGAAACAATCCAAAACCCTGTCAATCAGCTGGGTCAAGTTCACATTTTTGAAGTCGTATCCCATTGTTTCAAAGCTCGCGTAGCTGAAACCGTCTTCTGGTGTCACATGGATGGTAGAAATTGCATTCTCTTCAATCGAATTCATGGAGTAACCACAAGGATCAAACTCAAAGTCACATATTTCGGACTGTGGGAGGATCTTCCTAATGCCAGATTCTTCAGTCATACCAGCAGCTGAACTTGCGTTTGATTTGTAAAACACAGATGCCTTCTTCCTGTCCAAACCAGTCATGCACATCTCCAATGTGTATGTGGGTCCTGATTGGCGTGCGCCCCAAAGTAAGCTTGCCAACTCTGCCGATGCAGAGTAAATATGCCATTTCTGTGTTTTGTCAGAGCTACCCATAACATATGCTCTGCTTGCCAAACCAAGCTTGCCAAAATGGCCATCAAGGACAGCTACTTCCTCTGAAAAGCTACGATGTGGAGAGGGCTGAGCACCAGGAAATATAAAGCTCCCACGTGAGTACCTCACTGATTTTACAGCCAAGGAGAGAGTCTCAGCCAACTTGAGGATGGCAGGGATTGATCGAAGCAATTTTGTTGTTCCACAGGTTTTGATGATCACTTTGTATGGGTACACAAAGAAGCTCGATTCCGAAAGGACATAAGAGTCCAGATCATCATTAGAGAGTGAGGAAACAATGGTGCACTCAGCTGGTTTCAGAATCTTATCCAATTGATCTTTAGACAGAGAACGGAGACCCATGCCGGCAGGGTCAGCAAACAGTCCAGGCTCGAAGAATGAGACCTCGAGCCTCTTTTCATAGCCTTCAAATCCAATTGCAGACACCGGTACAGCCATCTCGAATTAAGGAAGGAAATAACGTTGCAACAGCAGATAAAAGGAGAACTAGCGAGGGAACAAGTGCGAGAGAGAACGAGAGAAGTAGGAAAGAGAAACAGACTAGAGCTAAAGTAAAATTGCAGTATTAACGATCGCACGGGGTTATGTCTAGACTTAGCAGAACTCAGGATGGCTTGCGGACGCACTGCATAGAGAACAGTATAAGGTAATATTAGAAGGCCATTCATACAAAACAAACCAGAAATTACATGCACCCAGAAACAAACAGTAAAACTTACGTTAGAGTAAGCAGCTGATCTGAATTTCTTGATTCCACCGTGAGGCCTGACGTCTTCAATGCTGTAACCGAGGGGAGCTTCGTAAAATGACTTACTACTGCTAGACTTCTTTTTGCCACCCTTCGACTCCATTAGCTCATTCAGTTTTTTTCCTGGAAAAAACAAAAAAGGACCAAGGGCGTTAGCACCAAATAACCTTACAAATCCAGGTAAAGGAGACAGCTTTGCAAATGACATGAAAAGGTAGTTGCGATATAACAGCAAAGAATAGTAACCAGATACCTCAGAATCTAATTTCAACAAAACCAATACATCCAAGCATACAACTCTATAAATAATTTTATGGAATTATCCAGAAAAACAAAATCAGTGTTCAACAAGTTAGAAACAACCAAGCATTGTGATTTGTTGAACAGGGAAAAGGGGACCATGCATCAAAAGCGAAGAATTGCTTACAGTCCTAACAAAATCTTCATTCTTTCCTTACAATAATAAATTAAAAAGCCTCATTTCAGCATATTTCAATAACAAAAGCAAAACCTTGACATAAATCTTTTTCATGTAAATAAAAAAGAAACCTTCTTTCTTCCCGATAACATCAAACCAATAGGCAAAACTATCCACGAAATAATAACCAGGGCCAAGGAAGCACACTTACAAATTGTTTTGAAGTATCTGAATTGAACCTACAATCTCCTTCGAGAATCCCTTTTTAAATCTCTAAATCAATTACCTGAAACCGAAAGAAATCAAAGATCATAATTAGACAAAAACACAGAATGGAATGAACAAAATCCACAAAACTAAGAACCAGAGGAGAATCATACCACGACCTTCAGATTCGAAAACTTGGGACCAAGACGAAGATCTGAAGGAAGAGGCTGAAGAAACCCTAATTATACCTAGAGTCCGCACAAACACCTAAAAAAAACCTGAGGTTCACGAAAAAAATGGGAGAGCAAAATTCGGGGCTTCGTTGTTTTCGTGAAGGTTGAGAACCATAGGGAACGTTGTTTATATAGCATCCCTGAGCCGTGTTTGCCACGGGAATTGCGTTTAATTACGGTCATGTACATTCGTTTCCATCCGGATTTGCTCTACAACTCACAACCTCCTGTATTTGTTTTGTTCTGACGATACTACCCCTCCGTGTTTCCGCGGATGGGAAGTTCAGACTGCGCTTGGGGGCATCATAGACATTTCGTCATGGAATAAATGTTTCGAAAGACCTGAGAGAGAGAGAGAGAGAGAGACGACGTCGTACGGAAGACTCACCGGTTTTTAAGCTAAGATTGGATGCGGACGATCATGGATTTAGCATCACACGTGGCGGTACGATAAGAAGGTGTGGCTGTGAATCAACTACACGTAGAGAGAGGGACGAGACTGATGCTGTGAGCTGGTTCTTTTTGTCATTTTCCTTTTCTCGATCCTTTTCACGCTTGTCTTACATGGCTGCGTGGGCCCACATGTCAATATTCTCCACTTTTATATCAAATTCAATTACTATTCTATACTATATGTACTTGGACCCCCCGAAAAGAATAATCATGAATTTGATTTTTTTTCTTTTCCTTTTCCTTTTTATCTTACTGGCCTATCCGCAAGCGCTTCCGCACCTGCAAGAGGTTATTTTTATAAAAAATTTAAAAATATTTTAGAATTAAAAAAGATAATGGGTAGTTGTGTTCCATAAACATAGGATCCATTATCTGATTTTTCTTTTAATTTTAATTTTTTTAAATATAAAAAAGTGTGAATTTACCATATTATCCTCACTTAATTAATAATTTCAATTCTTAATATTTGCATTAACCAATGGCATTTTTTGGTATTTTGAATGTTTCACCGTTCACTGCCTTTTGCTTTATATATATAGATTAATTATCTTCTCTAAAAGGGCATGATTCAAATCTATAAAGTTATTTTATTTCTTTTTAAAAAACATATATTATTTAGTTTGTGTTTATCACATACAATGCACCTGCCGTGTTATGGAAGTCAAAGCATAATATAGAAACTAAAAAGAGAGAAATAAAGAAATAATTAGGATTGAGATTCATCATATGCAAAAGGAAATAACATCATATGCCAACTCAAAAGTTGCGTTACCAGATATGGTTTGAACTTTGAATAGATAATAGGTGATACCTAACAATTGTTGTTTTGAGGGTCACTACCTTCTCTCAATAACCTAACTTAAGTTATGTGGTTCATCAACTTTTCATATTTTTTGGAATAAAAAAATTAGAACTCAAGTGGGAAAGGGAGGGTGGGGGCATTGACCCTAATGAAGTCAATTTATATTCCATTAATTATTAGTCTTGGGCTCGTTTAGAAGTGATTCTGAGTAAGTCAAAAATCACTTTTATGGTGAATCACTTATTCATATAATCACTTTAAGGGCCAGTTTGACATTGTTGTACTATGAAAATAATTGCTGTGAGAGAAAGCAGTTTGGCGTTTGGTAAACTTTTTGTTAAAAGTGTTGGTATTGATTCCCGCATAATCAGAAAATTATTACCCCATAATCATTAAACCCAACGCCTCTTCGAAATTGATTCATGCATAATCAGAAAATGAAAGCACCTCATTAGCTGTTTTCCCTTATAACTTTCTCTCACAACAATTTTTAACAATAAGTGATTTTCTAATAATTTACCAAACGAGCTGGGCTTCCCAAAATTTTAAAAAAATCACTTATCACCTCAAATAAGCAATGACAAATGAGAACTAAGTGGTAGTAAGTGATTTTATAGAGAAGCACATGAAAGATGTTTTTTTTTTGTTTTCTATAATCACTTAAACTCACTTAAAGTAGAGAAGCACGTGGGTGAGAGGTGCTCTACCCCAAACGTAATTATGGTCTATTCAAAATCACTTTCAAACAAGTCATTGATCTCAAAAGAAAATCATACACGCAAAAAAGGGGCCTTTGTTCATTAAAAAAATGGGAAACTTAACAGCAAATTAAAGCCAAAAAATACCTACTCAATTACGTATCAAATTAGAGGTGGCTGCTTTGCATGCGAGACAGTTGTGTGAGTATTATTGATTGGTGCTGTTTTTGGGTTCGAAAATTGACCCCAACACTCCCCCACCACCTAAAACCATAACAAATCAAAAGCACCGAATGCATGTCAATCAATTGCCGTGGTCTTGCGGGTTTCTTTCTTGCTCATGACTATTTTGGTATCAACTTTTCTTATGGCCAAAAAGAAAAGCAAATTCCTGTTTTAGCATCTTGGAATTGGAATTGACAAGAGTTTTTATTTGGTGGAGAATATTTATGTTTGCTAGAGGGAAAAAACACTTATGCTATGGCAAATCACACGGGCATTAGTGATTTATGACTATAAATTTTAATAAATGATTCAAAATCACCCACGCGTGACTTTAACAAAAATCCTCGCTAGAAAATATAAACAGGGCTTCCATTTGTTCTTATGGACGTGAATAGCAGCCCCCAAGTGACAGAGTCTAAGGGCCCGTTTGATGACATGGATTGGATTACATTGGACCACATTGGACTGGAGTATATTATACTAATCCAATCCTATGTTTGGTTTAGGCTCCCAAAAGAAGGTACCGGAACATAAATAGTAAATGAAGGACACCACAGCGAAATTCAACAGTTTAGGAGGATGTTAAGGGGCTCCTATTTCAGAATTTGGCAACTTTAGCAATATTAATATATATTCACATCTACGATTTTGGGTTTGTAACAGGGAATAGAGGAGTTCATAAACATCTAATATGATGACAAATGTTATTAGTGCTATTCTTTTGGTTATTGCTGCGATGTCCTAAAACTAAAGAATGACAAGTTAATCAGAATCTGCATAGCCTCCCATCAGATGAGCAGAACCTTCATTGCAACTGTTTCTCATTCTCTGTAGACTGATTGATCTTTCCATTCTTCTTCTCATACTCCTGCCTTGTTTCCTCCAAACCCCTGGATACCTTGAGATCAACCAAAAGACATACATACACATGAATGATGAGAAAATTACAACATTCGCACCTCAACCATCATCATTCATGAAAAATAATTATGCAGAAGAAAAACCTTGATTGAGTAAGCCATTGGAAGTAACGTATCAGGATTCATTGCATCATCAGGGAAGTTACGCAAAGCATGAATAAGTTTTTCAAAGGGTAATTTTATCTGTCGAAAAGAATAAAAATTTCTATGAGCAAATAATATTTTAGTTATCAAGATTTGGAGCAGAAAGGCATCCTGATATACTCACCAAGTCGTCATGACAATACTTTAATAGGGCTAAACCAACTTTGAAAACAATTCTAACACCCTGTAAAAATAAAAAATAATAGATCAAGTTTAAGTTAAAATCCAAACCATAGTACTTCCAAAGAGAGATATAACACATTAGAAATCGCTAACCTCATAGAGAAAGACATCCCAAATTCGAAGAGCCAAATGGAATGGGAAAGAATAGGAGAAAACGGTTATGAACCACTGGCTTGCATACATGCTAGGATTTATCATCTCTTGGGTAAAATGCTCTCCCATCTTTGGCAAGTGCTCCTTTACTAACTGGTCAAACTGAAAAAGGTATTGTTGTACTAGTGGTAGCCCTACCTACATGACAAGCATAAACTAACAATTATCAAAGCATGAAGCCATTTTCTCCATTTCTATTCCCCACTTTTTAAAAAAAAAAACAATAAATCAGGCTTTGAATATAATAAATGAACAAACTACGCATAACCTGAATAGATAAAAATGAATGTGAATGAACTCCTCAAGGCATTATCTGATGTCATTGGATTTTTTGTTTTCCTCTTGATTCTAGGAAATGTACCATATGACAAAAGTAGCGGACTACTTTCTTCTTTTTCGATAAATATGGCACACATGATTACACTTAATTAGTCTACAAACCCCAAAAGATAAGATCAAGACATTCATATAACGAAAGGGCTACCTGATATAAACCTTCCATTGGTGCATGGACTGCTCCTTTGAGTAATGCGACTAATAACCAAAATGCATCCTCTTCACTCATATAAAGAAGCAATAGACCAGCCAGAAACCCCATTCCCTGCATTCTTTTAACCATTTAAAATTATCCAGTGTATGGCATAAATTAAGTGCAACAGCGAACAAACAGAAAGTCTCAAACCTGAACATATCCAACTTCTGTGTCAAAGACAGAGTATGCCTTCAAAACATTGTAGAGGGACCTTTGACCAGGACCATGTCTCTGCTGGAAGAAAACATGCGAAGGGAAGGTACGGGATATATCTCGAATTATATCCAGCTCTGAAGCTGATGTCTCATAAATTACTAATTGCTGCAAAAACCATACCACTTCTTAGTTTAATACTATGAGTGTGCATGCACAAAGAAAGATGAACATTAGATGAAATATCAACTCATGATGTGAAATGAATAATATCACAAATAAGGAAGAGCAGTGTAATTAAATTTGTCCAGCCACCATCCAGCCGACCTAAAATAATCCCACACCACTTAGTTATCCACTTTCTCAACAAAAGACTCAAATTCAACTAACATGAACCTAGCTAAGGCATAAAGTACTCAAGATAGGAGGATATCTTAAGCTTATTGCTTGAATGTTGACTTTTGGCATTAATTTTCAGCTCTGATCAACCTAAGACCGTGTCAAAGATTGGCAGCACCAATTCGAACATCACAAGATTGGAAAGATAATTACGCTAATAAGGCAACTTGATTGAGTCTTTCTACAAGCCTTCCTAATGTTGACTAGATTAGGCATACATGCAGTTTCTAGTAACACCACCAGGTATGCACCGAGGCAACACAGTTTCATAATCTAAACCAACAAATTTTATTTCCAAAAAATGTGATTCTTCAACTGGAGCCCGCTTAGAAAAAGGTTTAACATAGGGTTGGGTTCAGAGCTCATTTTACGATGAATCTGCATAAGATATTTTTGTTAACCAAAATGGCTTGTAAAAAATCTGTAGATTTGCAAGGATTTTGGCAGGGGTAGTTCTCA